TAAACGAAGTAAATAAATACGTACATACATAATATAAGAATAATATACCTTGGCAAGATGCACACCAACTTTTGTGGATTAGTAAAAATACTGGCTTGTTGAATAACTTTGCCGTTGAGAATGTGTCATTCTATGACACCCAGTTGATATCGTCACCAAAACCTAATAGCAAATTTTTGCTTCAGTTTCATTCAAGCCTTAATCATTCTTTCTTTAAAATAATCTTAAAAGCTTTGTAACAAGAAGGAATTCTAAAAATTTTAAGCTGAATAACCTGAAGTGATTTTATAATCAAAATTTGTAGATTGCAAAAATATTTATTGGAAGCAATGAAAGAGACTAAAAACAAACCTCTATCAATGAATCGACAGTCTTCATGCTAAGCATGTTAAAAAGAATTTATTTGCATTCTGATTAGTATTTTCTTACACTGATCATTTATCTAATCTGTTTTGATCATTAATTGCTGTCTGTAAGAAATCACTCATATTTCATTTATAAATGCATGTTTCTCTCCTCTCTTTTATTTGCCAATTTAACAATTTATTGATAAGAATAAATCAAAATTTATTGATAAGAATAAATCAATGTGTTAGTCGTTTCATCCATTATCTGTTCGCTGTAAATGGAAAGATGACAATGGAAAATGTAGCCTTTAAATGTGAAACGTCAAAAGAAATAATGAGCGCATGAACAAGCAGTTGAAATATCTCAAACTCATTATATCAATAAATTTTGCTGATAACTGATTAAATGATATATCTCATGCATCATTGTAGCTATCCAATCTTACCCGTTAATATTTCGTGTGATAAGATCAACATACATTCTTTGATAGACTTTACCAGTGCGTGATGAAGTTCATGAAGTAATATTTGGTAATTGCGTGATAAAGTTTATCAAATAACATTTGTCAAATAACACTACCATCCAGATCACTTCTTTTTTTTTTAACAGAACTGATGCACTATCAATAATTAAACCAAAAAATTTTAAAATGAAGAAAAGTGTGGATTTGAAGTATCAACTAACAATTAATTGCTAGTGTGAATAGTACCAAACTAGAAATATCGATTAACTTGTAATTGCGCTAGCCAAAACAATCTACATCTTTTTTTTGAATACTTAGTTTTAAGAATAACTGAAATCAAATTCTTTTCTTTGAAATGCAGTTCAAAATTTGAGCTTACTTTACTCCAAATTACACAGTTGCAACCTCAATCTTTTTTTTAATATTTGTAAATAAAATTCCTCAGGAAGTTTGCTAAAGTCACTATAAAAACTAGCAAGTTGATGAACAAGAATTTCTCCCAAATACCAGTTATTTTATAATTGCGCTCACCGAAACATTCCATTTATTTATTACTGATGAAGTGATTGATCACAACCCCAAACATAGTCACAAAACGAGTAGCCAAATTATAAAAAATTGAACACTGAGTAGAAATTTTATAGTTGACAAAACGGCACAGGTAACATTACAGAGGCAGAAATTTAAAGAGAAGCAAATCAACGCTTCTGTTTCATTATCAATCACTGTTTCACATTCACTTATACTTCATTGCCTTCTCTTCTGTTGAGAGTTTGATATCTGCAGTTGACCAGTCGCCTTATATACGGCATTGAGTATTTCGTTGTATAGCTAAAATGATTAGTGGCAGCAAACTTTTGCGGTAAAAAGTGCAAAAATTTCAATTAAACAAGGAATGAATTTTTATGCCTTTTATGCTAGGTGTCCTTCAGATTTAAGTCTCGTAAGATAATTTATGGATATAAAAGCTCTAGCAAAGATACAATATAATCATAAGAAGTAAGAAATAAGATCTCCTCTCTCTCTCTCTCTCTCTTTATATTTGACTTATTGCCCTTCTTAAAGGTTTAACTTGAATCGTAAATAATTGCTCAGTTTGAGGTGATAGACTTTATCATGCAATGTAATGTGGTTAAAGATATCGAAATAGCCACAATAATTTCCTTTGGAAGAATTGACTATTGTAAGAAAGCGAGAAAAATCTATGCAAAACCTTTAGTAGGCTCGAAATTGATTAATCGATTAAAATTGAAATTTTTTGATAGTGTATATGATAATAATGTTAGTTTTGCATATTATAATTTTCACGAACCATTTTGCAGCATTACATAAGAATGCCAGAGATTGTGGGATAAAATAATACATTCGTTCCTTTAGAATTGCATCCAAAATTTCTTCAACGCATTTATCCAATGGTATTACATCGTAAAATCTTCAATATTTCAAAAGATACAGGCATGAAATTGATTCGTAAGAATTAGCACTGGAACTTAATGTCTTTAAAAATAAAAAAAATTCTTAATTATAAGTTCGAATCAACAAAAGAATTAATATCTGTTCGGAATGCATGAGAAATTTAATGAGAATTTTGTATGGTGAAATTCAACATTTGAAGAAATTTAAAATAAAAGAAAAACTCACGTGCTGAACGGTTCTGTCATATTGTTTGAAATAAGTGCCGTATCAACAAAATATGGATAAATAGTTGTCAATACTACACCATTTTTCTTCTCTTCATAAAGTTCCATTTGGAGAGTTTCCATTAATCCGCGGATAGCAAATTTTGCTGTGCTACAATTTTGTTATCAACAATAGTTAAAATAATTAATGATAGGTTTAAAAAAAATGACGTATAACATACATTTTATTATGGATCTACTTTTCCCCCATTAAATATTTTTCAGGAAGACAAATCGGTCATATTTTTTGAAATCTTTGTCTAAAGATAAATCTTACCAGTAAGCAGTTCCAAGATAATCTCCATAATGACTACAAATCGATCCAATCGCGACAATTTGCCCATGATTTCGATCCATCATACGCGGCAAAAAGGCTCTCATTGTCTAAATCTTTAGTCGGTTTCAAAATGATTGGAAAAAAGTTAGGAGCAACAAGCCACCTTGAATGTAGCAGAAAATTGATTTCGACAGAAAGAAATATTTTGAAATTAGAAAATTAGACAGAAAAAAAATTTTGCATTATTAAAACTAACATAAATGTAACCGAGAATGTTGACATTCACTGTATCTTGATAATCCTTATCATCTAAATCAATAAATTTGCCGATTCTGAGTATCGATGCATTGCAAACTAAGATATCAATGCTACCTAAAGATTTTATGAGATATTTGTTTGTTTTTCGTACAAATAAAATGAAAAATTTTTCTTCTATTTTATGTTTCACATTATGCTTCAAAAAAATTGCTCTAATTATATATTAATAAAGAATTGTTAGTGATCAATTTAGTTGTCTTATTCATAAGCTTTCAAAATTCAATTTCAAACTTTTTCAAAGTATTAAGATAAAGAAATAACTATAAGTGGATAATTTACATGAAAGGCAACACATATGTACAATAAAAGAAGCTTTAGTGAGGAACTTCATTTCATTTCACGCTACTACATTTTTTTTTGGAGCTTGACCCAAGATTCTGAGAGCTATGTTTTTCCTTTATCCTTTTTTTTGTTTTTTCTATACATAATTACAAATTCAACATTTGGCAGAGGCATTATTAATAAAAAATAGTATAAATATAACTGTCAGTCTAAAGACTGACACACCAATTTTTGCATTGCTGAATATTTGCTCTGCGCACAATTTTACTTCATCGGATTTTGCAACATTACACAGGAAGAAATATGCTCGCCCACCATTTTCAGTAATTTGTGATACAGTTCGAATTCCTTCTTCCTGTGAAATCAATTTTTTTGTCATAAATGAAACCAATAAATTCTTCCGGAAAAATTTGTGTAATCATGCAACAGATTATCTGCCTTGTGACGAATGATATCTCGTTAATTTAATAATTCAGTTCATTGTTCGATTGTCGATCGTGTAATTTCAACACAAATTCTTTTGTCCATTCAAATCACACAATGCGCTTCTTTCGTAATCAACATAACAAAATGATTTTCACTGCTTGTCAGTAATCTCTACCGGTTCTATTTTGTCCATAAGTTTCGAAAAATTACTTTTTTTTCGAAATTTATTCTAAATATAATTATGAATTGTGGACTTTTCGAAATAAAATGTGCAAAATTTCATAATTTTTAAAAAACTATTACCTGATTAATATCCAAAATGCAGACGATGGCATTCTCCTCTAATGCAATTTTTTGCGCCAGTCCTTTACCAATTCCCGATGCACCACCAGTGATAGCAACCACCCAAAGCAAAAATGAATAATTTTTATGATTGACTGCACAGTTTTTTTGAGCTAATAAAGTACGCATAAATTCTTGTTTTTCAATATGGTTTGGAAATTATAGTTCAACTTTACAAGAAATCAAAATCAGGTTCAAAGTAATGCAATACCATCATTGTTATCATTTAGTCGTAAATTGACTCAAGCCTGCTTAGATCTAACTATAACGCGTAATAATGTGTAGCCTATTAACGTTGATTTGTATTATACAAATGAACAGAAAGTTAGGTCATATCTTCATTATTGTAGTGAAGAAATGTCCAGAATATCATTTCAAAGTGCTCAGCAATAGCTAGAAACTAAAACCTGATCGGTTATTGATTTCCTTTTCATTGTGACCATTCGAGGTAAATCTCGAAACAATATACATAAAATATATTGTAAAACAAACTTCAAACTGATCAGTATTTGTTGATGAAGTTTCTCACAAGCCATATTGTCCGAAGCAATCTAAAGTCTGAGATAAAATCCCTACAGGATGAGATGAAATCATTATACCAACGTTTTTTTTTTTATAATAAATGAAAAATACACGCAAACAGGAATGCTATATTTTTTGCTATACCTACAACTTTGAATATAAATTTGAAATTAGTCTTGTATTTGAATCCTAACTCTAGGTGCCGCTTTTCCTGCAAAGTTTTAAGTTTTGCATGAAATTCAAATAATTTGAACTGCATGAAACCACTTGCTTATTATTCATTTGAATGTTGCTAACTATCATTTCAAAGTTACCACTACCACTAATATTGGAATTATATTAACTCATTCATTTACTCTTATACTGACTAATTTAGTCCAAAATTTGCAATAAGTGAAATTCAGGTTTACTTCAATTCCACTAAGTTTTTTTAAGAGGAAATGAGCAAATTTCTTGTTGATTTTCAAAAATTGTCCTCAGATATCTTCAAATATTTAACTAAAAAGCTATTTGAAGGTTTGATAATAAATTCATTTAGCTTCGACTTATTTGCATTTGTTGGTTTACTTTTTTAGCCAACGTATTTTTTATTTGACTTTAAAATGAATATTTATAATAATTTCAAAAAACTAGCATAGTTTATAATAAACGACAATGAAAAGAAGAAGTAAAGAAAAAAGTACCAGTCAGTGGTTGTCTCTGACAGAACATTCATACAGACTGTCAAACCATTTATAAAAAGACATCTATGTGTTGTGCATCTAAAATACTCATTTAGTACATTAAAACCACACATTACTGATCGATGCATTATCTCCCCGCCTTGAAATCTGGAATCTGTAAAATCCTGTCCTTTTCAAACTTTTGCTTCGACAACTTATAAGGGAGAAAAAAGATGATTTCATTTTCATCTTTGACCTTTCAATTTTACTCCACATCTCATCAAAAGTGTAATAGAAAAATAGTTCCTGCGCCACTGTTTTTCAAAGAAATACTGGTTGTTTAAATTACAAAACCAACCGACTCCATTTATTTGAGTATCAAATTTCGGCCAACATTTACCACAAATCTAATTATTTGTACTTGTTTAGATAATTGTGTTCGATTATTCCATATTTTTATGCATTTATTTCAGCTTCAAGTCTTCAGATATTCGTAAATCTTTCACCGATCAAGGAAATCAAAATAAAACGACAAGGGTTGAATATTCATGAGCCGAAATCAAAGCTGAAAAACCAAATTAGAAGAACAAACTTTAATTGTTTAATTCATTTATGTATTTTCCAATGCTGCAAAAATAACAAAACCATTCACTTCAAGTCTGATAAACTAATGCATCAAACTAGTAGAGTCGAAATCCTGTTTTCGAAAGAATATTTTTAATTATATTAGAGAAAACTGAATTTGCAAACAACGTCAGATGATAAGGGGTGGCTATCGACAAATTTTGTTTGTTAAAAGCCACTAGATTGCACAGAACATTATTCCCACCATAATCAAGAAGTTAACAAAACTTTTATTCAGCTGTCACCCTTTCGATGATAATAAACGAAGCTATATTCATCACCCGCCGAGTTTCCCTCACTCATTTCAACCTGTTCTGAAAACAACTTTTGTTATCGATTTTAGATCCGCGTTGTCTTGAATAAAATTCGTAGAAACATTTTGAATAAATTCTATCAATTAATAGAAAATCAACTACTCAAAATTGAGAAAATCAAATGAATCAATTTTAATTTGATGAATTTACTAGTTTCGGAGAACTGATTTATTTCGGAATTGGAATACTTCATCCTCCGAATATCAACTATTATCTACTTTTTGCATAAAAAATTTTATAGCACAGTTTTACTAACAGCACCCACAAACAAACTGTTCATATATTTCGAAGAAATCAGCCATAGATTTTTCTCAATTAAGCATGTCCTTAATTTTTTACGTAACCACAAGTTCCTATCCATTTACTAATCGATACCTTCTGCAAGTCGAGGACTAATAGTATCACTCAAATAACGCAAGGTAACTACAATAGCAATCTTTATGTGGCAATTTTCTGTCGAATATTCTACTTGCTTTTGCGAGAAGAAAGTGGAACGCACGTGTAACGTGACCGAGTATATCAGAATCCAGATGCAAAACTAAATTAAATATTGACAGCCAATCGAAGAATTAGATTATTAAAATGTATAATCTCGATTTCCTCACTTTTTCCTACTCTTCTATTTATGAAGCGCAACATCGGAAAGTAAGAAAGTTCTTACTTTTTAAAACAAAAATCGTGAAACCCAGCTAATATAAACGTATTTCCATTTAACAGGTTATATGGTTTAAAACACATCAAATAAAATCTGCATAAAACAAGTTATGGAAAACGAAACAATGCGGCAGCTACAAAGTGTTCAAATACGCTCCGACAAACTTCAGCTAAAAATTAAGGCCTGATGATAACAATTAAATGCTTCAACTTCACTCCAAGTTAAAAAATAAACACTTGCACTCCGTTATGAATAAATGATTACCAGTATATTACATGAGCTAGTGCAAAATCATGTAGAGAGATTTTTATAAAATATTTGAATATATTAAATGCTGTGGTTAATTGTTTTAATCTAATTTTTTCTCAATTTATTCCATACAAGCATTTTTTGGATTTAAAATCTCAAATTCAGAAATGAAATAAATAACTTTTGATTTCAATTTGTCTGTCTTCAAATTTATTTTTGAAATATTGTGGCTTTGCTAACAGCTCCATTCATAACTACAAAAGCAAAAAAAAAAGATCGCCTCTAATAGATAAAACAAGAAATGGAATTGAGGATAAATTACATCCCGCATCAAAGTGCAAATCAACAAGACTGTTGACGGAACAAAATGATTAGTCAGCAAGAGAAAGATATTCTACAATATTGAAAACAAAAAATGCATTTATAACTGAAAAAGATTCTGAATAAATTTCAGTGCACCAATCTCATATTTACTTATCGGAAATACATTACAGAGCATACAACGTTCTAATTCTAAGACATAGCTTCAAAAACACAACCTGATAAGTGAAAAAGTATTCTGGAGGTTTATGAAGTAGGCAAATTATATTTCTTCACCAAGTTTTCTTGACATTTCTTGGAACTCCAACATAAAGAAAGACGGGATAGAGAATGTTGAAAGAGGTAGATGGAGTGAACCAAACGCAGCAAAATGTAAACTGAAGACAAAATAACCTGGATGGTCTTGGTGAGATTCGAGACTTACATGAACGATAGGGCGGTTAGAAGGTTAACTCCACATATGTCCTCCAGAAAGATTTTCATGGCTTTTTATCAAGGAATCAGTGTCAGAAGAAATGTGTGATGAAAATGAAGAAATTAAACTCTTGACTAATGATACTAAATTTCCTTATACAAGGCGCTGAGATGAGCACATTTAAATACAATGAAACAAAAAGGAGTGCATTACTAACAACGCAGTTGGTTACACAGGGCACAGACGTAAAGCTACCTACTCCGGCTCAGTTTTGCTGTTCTACTAAATAGAAATTTCAGCAAATAACTGACTGAATATCACTAATAATATTGGTAATATTACGTTAACCTCAAAATTTAAAAACATTATGTCTACGAAAAAAAATAAGCAACAGCACATTTCATCGATTACCACTTTTGTCCGCAATGAACACAAGACCTTCATCTGACAAATCGTCATTTTCTTTTGTTCCTTTTTTTGAACTCGTTGAAGGACTATCGTTTATCTGTTCGTCAAGTAAATCCACAACCGCATCTTCCATTTCTTCCTACAGAAAAAACAAGCATGAAACCTTTTCAGCTACATAATCTACAAGTTCATCACTCAAAAACGTTAATTCAAAATTTGTAGTGTTAGCGATACTCAACAAAACATCAGCAGTAATAAGTCCCGTAAATATTATATTTGAATAAACATACCACTGCCAAAAACAAAGCTGATAACTTATTAGATCTCAGTATTCGATGGCTGTCTTCGCTTTAAATATCTCCATTTTTTTGATAAAAACAAAACCTGAGCTTTCCTCCAGATATGAAGTTGAACTAGCTTTTCAGTCAAGCATTTGGTAAAGTACTGCGAATGTGCCGGTGAAATCTCTTCAAGAAGTTGTCTAGCATTGTCATAATATTTCGCATGTAACTCAACCTGCAAAAGGAGTCTTAACAGCTGTTAGATGTTTGACTGAATATTTGATAGCGTGTCTACAGAATTTTAGACACTTATACAAATGGAAATCTTCAAAAGAGAAAGCAGAGATGTTCTCTGAAAAACAAATAAATCAGGGCAAATAATTTAAAAAATCAATAAACTAACACAATACCCGTTTATAATCTCCATTCATACTATCACACTGTAACGAAGCAATCCGCCATCCTTTCATTGTTAATTCTAACGTATAAGGCTGACCTGTTTATAGTTTAGCAATGAGTTCAGAAACAAAGGAAAATTTGTAAAGTTTTCGTCCCCCTACATTGATAAAATAATATATGACAAAATCAACTGTGTAATGTGATAAGAAAAAAAGGAAACAATTAATACAACAAGTCCCACTTTATAAATTATGCCTCCTCTAACAATTACTTTACTCACTGCTATCAATAAAGAAAGACCTAAGAAAACTTCAGAATATCCAAAGAACGGCTATTTTGAACCTCATACTGCAGAATCTCCACCCAATTATTGGAGTAAGAAATCAACAAAGCAGAAAGAAATTCTTTTTGTATAAGACTCTTCAAACTACAAATAAATTCCGAAAGAAATCCTAACCCTCAACAGTTTTGACATTCACGAAAATTAAATCAGCTGTTCGTGGCAAGATTTCTGAGACAGCAATTGAGTGCACTTCATTTGAGAGTTCATGTACGGCAGCTATAGCTTCTAATTCTAAAGGGCCACCAACACTTTGTTCATTTAGTGTATCACCAGTTTCAGCATGACGTTTGCGATTAGCACGACCTATTTCAACGACAGAGAGTGGTGTTCTGAAAAGAATGTAAGTGCCACTTTGAAAGTTCAAAACACCTGTATGAAAAGAAAAGATTTCGAGCACTTAGTGACTTTGTTTCAACTTTGAACTTTTTGAAGACTTAAAAATGTTAGGTAAAAATATTTAATAGTTAAAATAGAGAGAATCATTAAAGATCGAATAAGCATACCGCCTACCAAAAGATGCTGAAGCACAATCAGTGGATGCAGTGGATTCAAGATGGCGTTTAGAATAAATCCGAACATATTCTAGCACCAAACAATTTCTTTCGTAGTACCAACGGAACAAAAATAAGATCTTTGAAAAGCGAACTTACGGAGATTAATTCACAATTCATACCCGAAATTATTGTGAACAGTGGAATGATCAGGTATTAACGCTGGAGTCAAACTTGGCGAGTACACAAATGGTTCGTGAAATCCATCCGGTGCTGGGCTGTGAGCACGACTCTGCGTCCGGCTGCTTTGATAACTTTGATAAATTTGTGCTGCACTCTGCCAGCGAGCCGAACTAGAAAAACAAATGACCAGCAACTACGAGAATGTGTAGCAGCAATTTAAACATGGATATTCCACAAACACGTGTTAAAATTATAAGGCCACCAACACACACACACATACACATACACACACACATACACACACACATACATACACACACATACACAGACACACGCACACACACACACACACAGACACCTTTAATTCACTTTAACACCATATAGAAAATTTCGCATAAGCTATCACGCTCTCGTAGCTGGATTAACGTTAATGTTAAGCATTTTAAAAACGATAGAGAATTTCAAAAAAAGAAAAGTATTTAAACAAAAATGACGCAAGTTTCCATCAAATCCTTGCTAATACACTGAAAAAAATAATTTCATACTTATGCACCAGAAAAAATTAGTTTCATATTTACATATTTTCCATCATGCAAACTGATCATAGATAACGAATCAAAGTTAAAAAGGAAACTCAGATAAGAAGGAACGGACTACCGGGCTGATGAACATCAACTATGCTACGACAACTTAAGAGAAGCCATAATGATTGCACTACCTAAATGTTAAATCTTTTTTAAAGAGTGAGAACTCAAAAACTGTTTAATTTCAACTCGTAAGTTTAGGCGAATTCTTTGCTAGATATGACGAAGAAATCTTACTTTTGCTGACGATAAAGCGGCGAAATTCCAAGGGAATCGGCTAAGCAGTTTGCCGTGGGTGTACCTATTGGATGAACTCCATGAAATGACAGTGCCGATGATGCACCTTTACAACTTGGCGATGATGGAGGAGTAAATGGCGGTGAATAAGCCATCACTTTTTAATCCTAAACATACACCATTCTGGATCAATTCATTTTGAAAAGAACTGCAAATGCATACGCAACCAATTCTCCATAATAGCATTGAAAACTAAAACCATTACTAAAGATAGTAATACGATTAAATCTGTCGATAAAATCCATTTCCTGTATTATATCACGGTGTGACAGTTTTGTCGGATTCATGAAGTTTCGAATAAACTAAGAAAAAGTCTAGGTTAAATAATCCCATAACCTAATCAAATGATCACTTGAATAGAGTAATTTAAGAGTATATTTTTTCACACGAAACATTATCATGTAACCTACTTATAAATTCAGCGTCCAGCCATACTTGTAGCTTGAAAACTTTCTTTATCAATAGGTAATAACCGATGTCCTCAGCAATCTGAATACTCGCCCGCTTTTTGCCCAGTAAAAGTCTTAGTCGTTATGAAACTTCACCGTCTCATGTGTACGGAGGATAAGCATAACTCACACGAACTTCTAGACCAACGTGCTTCATCAGTTCACTACGAATCCTGGAGAATTTCACAGGTCTGGAAAAATCTGTTCACGAGATAGAAGTGTTGCTCACACGCTTCAAAGTTGCTATCACAAAGAGGGGAATTGTCCCCACACTTTACCTACGTGAACGACTGCTCTCATGTCATGAACTATAGTGACAAATTAGTTGGAGACGGACATATCCGAAGAATTTGTTTCTTGATGATATTTTCAAATTCTCAATTTCCTTGTTTTTGCTGCGAACAATGTTGTTCGGAAATGATTGTATCAAACTTGCAGCTTAAGGTTTTCCCTTGCTATTGCATAAGGACCATTTTTTTTTCAATAGATCTGTTTTAAATTTCCGGTGCCTAAATGCGATAAAATATATAGTAAGATTTAGAGCATCAATAATCCTGTCACTCTTTATCAGACGATAGCCAACATCATTCTAAAACTTACAGCAAGCTATAACAAATTTCTTTCCTGTTAGTCATTTATTTTTCAAGTTTTATACATCTATTAAGGTTATTACAATCACATTTACAATTCAAAAAAATAAGATAATTGAAAAAAAAACACAAACAAAAACTGAGCAATCAATGCGCTGACTATATCTGTGAACATGACAAAGTAATCAATGAACGAAATCATCGACATTTTTCAATTTCTTCAAACTTCGTTTTAGAAGTTTGACAAAATCATAGGGCTGTACTATGAGAGTGAAAACGGACAAAGGTAAAGTGTCGATTTGCTTAAAAACTTCGTCATCTTCTGAAAACATATTCAAAGCATGCTTGCCCACACAAGTGATGCAAGCAGGAGTAGCTCCTGTTCGCGTAACTGCCGGAACTAAGGCCCGAATACCAGCTTCCCATGCTGGTGACCCTTCAAGCACGTCAGCCAGCTGAAATAAGCTGCAGAGATATGACAAAATTCCTGACGACTAAACTAACATAGTTCAGATCTCTATCCAAAAATAGTAAGATTACTTTGATTTTACGTTTATCCAAAATTAAGCCCGCATCAAATTTCTGCTTCGTTTTCTGCAGTGTATGAATTGTTCCATGAGGCACTCGCTGAATGGTAATATTTACCTAGAAAAGTATAATCACGTCTATGAAATTTGTCCAAATCTTTAAGCAGCAAAAAGATTTTGTAGAATTTGCTAGGAACAAAATATAGAGGATTTTCTGATGGTTGGCCTTTTTTGCCAGCATAAACATAATTACCTTAAACATGGTTCATGCTACGAGAATGATTCTAATAATCAAAAATAAGAAATATTGTGACTTATAAAAGTACCGATGACCCCGTTTTTGATGCAGTACTGAAAATGATTGGAATTTGTTGTGTACTGTATATGTCAACATTAGCAATTCGTACAAGTTGATCGCCAACAAATAATTGACCGCCAAGATACTTCTCAGCTATTGCAGTCCAACCTGTTACCCTTAAATAAAAAAAATGTGCCACAATTATTTAAAAATTATACCAAATAAGGGAAGAAGTTTGAAACGGAGAATGGAAATCAAAAACATGAACTAAAATTTCTTCCTAATTTTACTGAAAATAAATCAAAGCAGCATAAAAGCGCAACAATATACTAAAGATTAATGAGCATATAATCGATGTCAATAAAATGAACGACTTTAAAAGTCATGAATTCAGAGCAAGAAGACACTGCGATACTGACCATACTTTCCCGCCAAAATCCACGTAAGCAATATGCCGCATGCAGATAAAGGATCGTACCGTTAAATTTCTCAAACCACTTGAAATACCATTATTATCGATGATCTGTGAATGATTCTGATCTTCAGCTAACATTTCACTACTGTTTCTTTCACAAACTGAATGAGTTTTTTGCAGTGCAATGCTTGCAATTGGCGAAATTCGATTAATCATTCCAGAAGGTGAATCATAATCCAGTGAAAACGAATCATTTCCAGTAACACGACGTGAGTGAGCTATATTGATATTCAAAGTTCCAGCTGGGACGGAATAACCACGCTTTATCGATTCGGAACACAAACTCACTGGTGCTGTTATTTCAGTGTCCAGTAATGTAGGTCCCTCCAAAGTACTGTAAATTTATTGGTCTTAAATGCCTTCATATTACCATACAACTGTCTATCTTATTAAATTTCATATATTTCAAAGTAATGACTTTTTGTATATTTTGGTATATAAATATACCGAAACTCAGTTTCACTCAACTTGATGCTTTCAATCATTAAAAGTGGTATAACTTCGTTATAATAAAAAATCATCGAAAGCGAAGTTTTACTACCTTCATATATGTAAAGAAAATGAATATATCCCATTTTAATTCTGAGAAGTGAACACTCATTTAACTAATGCAATATTTAGAAATTGAAACTATGCAAAAATCTGACAATTGCAAAAGACCATGAAGCATTGGTGTTACAACGTACGAAGGAGAAATCAAAATTGATAGTATAAGTTATAAACCTATATACAGAATTTTGAGAATTTATCGAAATGTCTTCTGGCCGTCTTTCCATAGTCGATGAATCTCCAAACGATGTTGATGCACGATTCTTTGGATGATCATATATTGAGCACCTCTGTAAAACTTCTAGCCTGTGGAATTTGAATATTTTGTTCACGAAAACCGATGAATGAAGGAATTCATCTAACCAGTTATAAAACAATTTAATGCAATATGAAAAATTTACACGGAATTGCACTTTGGATAAAAAAACTGGAGGAGCTTTTAAAATCAGGGAATCACTTTTCACAGCACAAAATAAGACAAGCTTGATTTAAGATTCGAAGAAAGTAAATAAAGACTAACTTTTGTACCAGTTTTGGGAACAAGAGCTTTTGAAGATGAAATATTACGAGGCGGAAGAGGGGGTGGGGTTTTCACCACCACTCCATGATTCTTCACTTTTTTCTCTTCAATGCTCAGCGTACGAGGAAGAGATGACATCCCAGATGGCTGCGTTGGCAATGATGGAAATCTAGTGAGTTCGTCTTCAAAGTTTCTTAGAGTAGAAACTGGTACTGATGGCGCCAGTTCTTCAGGCACCTTAAAACTTATCGAAATTGATTTCGAGTTGCAGAATCTATTTTCAATTTCTAATACTGGAACAACAAAGAACTATGAAGAGTCAAAAATGAAATCGCCCGTAGATTACAACCCAACTTATGAATGTTCTAGAAAGTGATTCTCGTCAATAATCTACAATGATCTATATTTTGAACAAAACGAAATATTCTCCATTTATTTGGGCCGTAGGAAAGGATCAGACTAGCGCATTAATATGTTAAATTCTAGTCTTTATAAAGCATACCTCATCAGGACCTGAACCTTCATAAATAAATTGTTCAGCTGTTCTAGATGATTCAGATATAAAATCAGGTACCGAAATATAGAGATTTGTAGATTCCGTCAAACATTTTAATCGTATGAGAGCAGACGTTGTTGACCGAATCCAGTCATCACAATCTTCTCTGGAAATGTCGCTGACAGTAAAGAATTTAAGCAATCTCGACTCTACGTTTTGAGATGCAGAAATATACTAACTTGAAACCCGAATGATATCCGATACTTGGAAAGACTCAAACTTCAGATTTAACGTCTGCTTATCAAGCTTATCTAAAAGCAATAAGGTATAAATCAAGCTTTACCATATTACCTGAAGAAAATAACTCTATAATAATTAATATAAATCTTCTTTATATAGAAAAGTGTATTACATTGTTAAAGCAGAAAGCTCAATGGCATCACGTGAGCAGTCCACAAAACCAATCATGAAACTGCGTCTGGATGGGTCACTCATAATGACCCTTACAAAAGAAGAATCCAACAAATCGATTACTTTCGAAGGTCTAAAATTATTTGTTTTGTAAAAATCCAAAGCAAGTGTAGAAATAAGAAATTTTTAGATCGAATGTCAAGATCAGAATCGGAGTAGAATCTTGCGTGTAAAAAATATCGCCTGTAACTGCAGAACAAAAAATCTCAACCCAACTGAATTTTCGACGTGAAAATACCTGTGCCCATGTACGTATTCCTCCGAAAAATACCATTCCAAAAGTGGTATACGACCATTGTGAACACACAATACAACCCATTTTCCTTCTTCATACAGAATTTTCTGCAACAATCAGAGTTAATTGAAAAAATAATGCAGCAGTGCTCTTTTCTAAAAATGTGTGAAAGATATTAAATTGAAATTTACCTTTTTCCGATGTAAAGTACCACCTTTTTTATGTACTACATGCTGTAACCAGCTTGCTTTTACGATTTCACGTTGTTCATTCATTCATTTGTTCCTAGTTAGCAAATCTGAAAATTTTCATACCCATAACTAACGAAAATTGCTCGACATGCAACGATCGAACAACACATGACAAGGATAAATTCGAATTGATTCTAAGTAGATTAACTAAGGATCTTATCACATAACACCTTCATATATCTCACAATCATTTCAAATGTTTTATTGGGTGCTGTTTCTAAAAATTAAAAACTTTATATACCTTTGAATAAAAGCCACAGCACATTAAAACTTGAAATGAACTTTTAACTTTTGGCTAAATCATTCCGTGAATACATGCCAAGAGTACTACCGTTGTGATAAATATCTCATGAAAGAGCATAAACATTTACACTATCACTGTATGCCACTGATGGTTCAAACAAATATACGAACTTCAGAACGTCTTGTTTTACTTTATTTGTTTCTTAGCCAAATTATTCACAAAGAATGGAGAGTACTTGAAAATTTAAATTTCTTCCGTCACGACCAAACCGTAATAATCCTTAACTCCCTTTATAAATTAGCAGTATGATTCATCGTCTAGTAAGCGAAAATTAATTAGTTCCGAAGTCCTCAGGGTAACTTAATCAGTCAAGTTAATTTGGACAATAATTTCAGTTGAATTCACAATTCCATCTGATAACCGTTAACCTACGTGAATGTCCTCCAAATTTAACAACGATAACTTGGAAGATCTGATCTATACACTCTTTTGAAATCCTATCTACGGCCTTTAATTGAGCTCTCTTGCTAAAATTTCAAGTCAAACTGTCCAACTTGCCGGCTAGATCCTAGTATTTTAAGACAATTGAGGACTAATCAACTTGACTTGCGATGAAAATGAAGTGCTCCCGGAAAAACCAATGAACTTTTTTACAATAATTTAATAAACCAACAAGAGAGCTCCCATGTATTTCATTATCAAAAAGAGTTCACAAAAGATGCTAACAATTCGTAAGAGCATGACGCGTCTCTTTCTCAGTGAGCTGAAAAAATTCTTGCGAACGTCATTTACTCGACACAACCTTTCCCCCTACCATTCCATGCCAACCCACTATTCCACTATTTCCCCCCAACATTTCTAATTGAATAATAAGCTCCCCAGATTATCAAATTGATGACTTCATCAGTGTTCTACTTTAAATTTAAATTTATGCCATTTTTCCGATTTAATGCAATAATGACTACTTTTTAGATTAAATCCTGCTGACTAAATATCTAATTTTAGCTTTTTTCCTGTCACAAGCAACAGGGAACGTCTTCCATGGACACGTTCAATTTCCTTATGAGGCTTTCTGTATCAACCGTGTTATCCATGGGAACGACTGCCCTGTTGATCTCCTACTCCCTTCGCCTCATTAGATTTAAAAGATCGTATTACAATAACACCAAGAATAACGATCTTGGCAGTCTCTGTGAACGTTATCAGTAACTACTTATCAGGCAGCCATACACTTTCTGTTGCATCATATAAAGGTTTTTTCAAATTAATCCATTCAGTATAGTGCACATTTCGCACCACAGAACGTTCATCATCTGTTCCCAAACTTCCTTTTTGTATCCATTTTTACACTAAATTTCTCATTCTGCACTTTTACACAAATGCTGCCTAAAAATTTTGATCTCTTTTAAAAACAGTGGGATATAGTACCAAGTCTTTTTCCTGGAATGGAATATTACAGATGAACTGATAGGCACTCAATGATCCACGATTTTATGTCTCGTTCGAATTATAGAATATGATATTTGGTCATGAAATAGCGCTTTTAATATAATGATTAGGTAGAAATGGAGCTAGAGCATTAATAAAACCACTGAGCAATTTGCAGCCGATATTTAATAAACTTAACAAAGGAATAATATTTAAGACAGAATAACGTTAGAATAGCTATACTCGATGTGGGATAACGATCTACACATGATCAGAAATACTACAGTGAAGAATGACAAAAAGGGAAGACACCTACGAAGAGCCTATCAAGACATACATACCTGTATGTGGACACATGAAGCCACCCTGACATGCCGAACTACGAAGGAACTCATGAGGACGCCGTTTTCTCCTTCCGTCCCCGCTGGATCCTAATGAAAAGCTGCATCTCATAAAGGAATGGGTAGCTAAATGGTCACGTACTTCTGTGGACGCAGAAATTGATTGCTTTTACACGGCTTTGCATTGTTGTACATGAAGTAACTGTGTGAATAATGAAAACTTTCACACAGGTTTCGTATACTTCACATCAGAATATTTTTTCCAACTCCTTTAAACCTGAATAGAAATTTCACGGTTACTTTCGCCATCCTTTTCCTCTCTTTCGCTTTCTGACTGTTGTTCCCCGGCCGTCTTCTCCATCCATCATAACACATTCTCCCGCAATTTTTGTTGATTCTTATTTTCCCTGTGTAAATTTGAATGCTTATAATTCCATTCAATCCCTGAAAATTAACTTTTCAACCCCCTCCCTCTCCCCTCTCTCTCCTGCTCTCTTTAATAATGTCACAGTTTTCTACTATCAACAACCATTTCATACGCTTTCAAGTTGGATTAGTCTTAAACGTAGCAGCGAATTATTTGAATTCTTAAGCAATATTTGAAGAAAGTTACACATAGTGGTTAATGACGAATTCTAGATTGGTATGAATGTCAAGTAACTGATTTGGAATATTCGCTTATTATCTTCATTTATGTTTTAAACGTCCTTATTGAGTGGAGAATACTGTTTATCTGTATATTGAGTTCTTATGTTTCAGAATTTTTGTTTTCCATGAACAGAATTGAGAAGTAAAAGAAAGATGGAGAAGATGCGGGAGGGTTTACAGCGACGAGCTCGTCGTATGCAAGAAAATTTGCAGCAGTCTGTAGGATTGTACGTTATCCTTTTGCATTTATGTACGAAATACAGATTGATACTGCTGACACTGTTTGCTATCATTGAGGGGGACTGAGTGATAATTGCAGGTGTCCAGCACTTCATTTCTTGATTTTTTTTTTAATGAATTGTGTATAGTAATTAGGGGGCACTAATAATGATTATGGGACTTGGTAGAATATGTTATTTTTCCCTGTAAAAAAAAACAAGCCTGAATAATAAAAATTTTTATTTGATGTGACGAATTTTAAAATTTTATCATTTATTTCAGTCATCTTTTGTTGAAGCAATTCCTTTCAGGTCTGAGAAAAAAGACGAGTTGCAGAGTGTAAGTCATGTCGAACAAAAAAACCAAAAAATTATTTTAGCGGTAAAAAACACGCGACAGAATTTGCAGAATTGTATAAGAAGCGTCAATAGAGAGGAAGCTATTGATAAACGGAAGGTATAACAATTTCACTCGACTTTCTGAAATGTTGAGAACAAAAAGTTGCAGTTATTTTTACAGAAAATTTATTAATGATATTTACTTTTGACTTTTCTTCTACAGCCAAAAAGGAATAAAAAACCTTTTTACTTGAAATAACTTCAAAATTCTTTTATTTTCTTAGATGTTTAAAAGAAATTACTTGTTAAATTGTGAGTATGACTAGTGTTTTATAGAGACGATTAGATGAATTTGGTCTTTGGCAACAGTTACTTGCGGATTCGAAAGAATTGGAAAATATTTATCCGCGTTCGCATCCATCTGTTCTTGCTGATACAATGAAGCTGTATGGCGATGCTCTGGGTGTAATTCTTGAAGAACGGATCCTGACAGATCAGTTAATTGAGAAAAGGTTTTACGGTTGTTGATATAAACTTCTTGCATACACTGTGAATGAAAAAAATATTGAATTACACACAATGTTGTTTGCTTCATAAATTATTTATATTATAGTGTTCTGGATGCTTTCGGGAAGTATATGGACGACGACAAAGCTCTATCGAAAGCGAAAGAAAAACTAACGCGTACAGTTGTTGATGTTGAAGTTAGCAGAAAACGTAAACAAGGAAATCATGATGAGTCAAAGATGCAGGAAATCCAGGATGAATATGATGCCTTACAACTTAAATTAGAATCTTATAAGGTTGATTTCTCTCTCTGAGATGCAGTATATGTTTATTAATGTGTGAAATGGTTTGCTGAATAATCAACTAAGTTACGTTTTTTGCATTCAGGACAATATTTTTACGGATATTTTCGTGCTGCTATCAAGGGAAGCTGAAATTGCTGGTATTTACAAGGAGTTGATCATTGCGCAAATGGAATATTATCGGACAGCCTTGCAGAAACTTGAAAACATCTTACCTGAAATCGATAGGAAAATCGGTAACTTTATATGAAATTGGAAAAAAATGACTTGTTTTGCTATGAATTCTCTTCCACTCAATAGGGTTCTTGCGCTAATTTCAATCTTGTCATCAGCATTAGCTGCACTTGCTTACCGTGAAATAAATCATCCTAGGAAACCCTGCAGCGATGACTGTCAGCGACCAACAAATTTATTTACGGCATTGCGAATGGGTAATGGGTAGGAGTTTGTCTTGTTTCGTATCTCATACTGCTTTATTACCCCATGTTTTTTAGCTTCCTATCCTAATCGTCCAGTCTTTGGATGTCATCTAGAAGATCATCTACGTTGCTCTAATCGTTCGGTGGCTTTGGTTCTTGAAGTGTGTTGCTCTATTTTGAAATATCAAGGTTTCCAGGAGAAGGTTTCTTAATTCCAAATTTTAATATGAACAATTTGTGTTTCCTTAAAATCTTTCACGGTGATTGTAGTTCCACTTAAATATTCCTCACATATTTTTAATTTCAGTGTATATATCAGAAAACCTCAGATATTTTAATGATACTTTATTTCCAGGGCCTTTTTCGAGTTAGCGGTAACACCAATCGGATCAGACGTCTCAAAGCAGCATTTGATGCGCATCAGATAAATAATGATTCACTAGAAATTGCTGAATACATTAATGATCCTCATTCAGTTTGTTCCGTTCTAAAATGCTATCTTCGTGAACTTCCTGAACCATTAATGACTCATGCTCTTCACTCAGAGTGGGTTATCATCGCCAAGTAAGTTGTTGTTTGTGTAACTAGACATGAATTTCATGGAACTGTTACAAAATATTGCCAAATTTCTTTTTCTACTAACACAATGACAGGATCTGTAACTTTCGTACCCATTTATGAAAATACTCAGCTTCATTTCGAACACAGAACATAATGCGTATCATGTAACTAATTTTTGTTTTTATGCATCTAATAATTTTAAGGAGAGATCCGGATTATCGGAAGGAAGCTATATATCGACTTCTT